GGTAGCTTTTTATCTTCGTGCACTTATGATTCTACCGCCGAAAAAATTATGCAAATACCCGACCGAGTCAAGCGATGCGATTCAATGGCTGTGGACGCGATGAAGGGTCAAAATCGAAAGATGTTCTAAAACAGACATTTCTGGTAACAACTGCATTGTCCATTATCAGATGACATGAGCATAATAATAATACTAGTGGTAGTTAAAAACGTTGCCTTGTTGTTGCCTTTTAATCTTCGCCTCTTGGCTGTGATTATGAAGCCGTTCGACCACGCAGTTTCTTATTTTTGTGGCAAATGTATTTTTCTTGGTCATGATATGAATAATGGTGCTTTATTGTTGTTGTTGTTGTCAGGTTTGCCATTGGCGACGTTGGTGGAACGAGAAGCGAGCGGTTCGTTGGTGCCGGTGATACTCACTCGTTTGGTTCAGGAGATCGAACGTCGCGGCGTTGATTCGGCAGGCATCTATATCCTGTGCGGTTCGGTCGAGAAGAAGCTGGCGTTGATCAGCGAAGTGGAACGTGACCCATCTGCGGTAGATTTTAATCCCGACGCAGTGCCGGACATGAACGTACTGACCAGCTTGGTCAAAGATTGGCTATGTGCGTTGCCGGAACCTCTCATTTCGCCGTGCACCTACCAGATGCTGATCGATGCGTCCAAGGTATGCTTGCCAAACGACCGTGAAGGCAACGCTCGACTGATCTTCGGCGTACTCGACTGTCTGACCAACGTAAACAAGGTACGACAATGGTTTTGTTCTTTTCTATCCTTTCCTTTTCTCTCCCTCGATCTGGACTCACCCATTGATTGTACCCTCTATTTGTCACTTACAAAACCGAGCGAAAGCACGGCGGACTGGGGGGGGGTCGCATCGCTTTAGCATATTTCTTTACACCGATTTGTTGTGCGGTAACGTTGCATCGCCGTGTCGTTTCTAGACGCGTTTACTTCAACGTTGCTTATAGCTGCTTACTTATTGCATGCATGAAGTTACCACCAACGGCCAGCGGTGCATGCATGCAGCACAGTCACAGCCTTGCCGAGTGACGTGAAACAGGCCAGACACATCCGCACGCAAACTCCAATCTGAACTCATTACTCTAGCAGTATATGCCGCTCGCGTCACTGGCACAATTGGTTTATTTTTTTTGGCCAAGGTAACGTTTTCCCTCGGCAATATGGATTAGAAGTACTTTACACCACTGACATAACTGATTGGGTTTCATCTCTGCTCTTCGCCATTTCTTTAGCCTTATGTGACAGTTGCATGGAACCAACATCTTTTTGATCTGTCATTGTTGTCGTCCTTCCTGCCACGTAGCGTCAGCCCATTTTTCTAAACGTTACTTAGTCAGTTAGATGCTAGTCACGTGACATTCTGAATCCTGCGAATCCTTGCAAATAGCCTTCGAAACTAATCCTCTTCACTTCTGAAACAAGTCAATTTCAGTAACGCCGAAACACAACCACTCTCTCATCACACTACCTAGATGAGCATCAGATGGAGGAGTAAAAATTTTGAACCGCCTATTCTACCGAAGTTAAAGCTTTGGCACACGTCACAGTTTCATCGTTTTGCGATAACTACGGTACGTCAGTGCAAAGCTGCATCACCTGTTTGGTCTAATAGCTACTTGTTCGAAATACGCAGCAGTACTTATTTATTTATTCAACAACCTAATGGACTGAAAACCGCATAAAACACGGTATTTATTCGTACACAATGCAAGCATGTTGGCCGGTCGGGTGATTGACCATTGCCAACGATCCGGCTCGCGACACACGTTCCTTCATCAAGGTGGACAAGATTGATTTCCGAAGCTTGTTGTCACATCTCGAGTCAAAATGTGTATGTGTTACTGATCTACGTAGCTATCCACTTACCTACCTCCTACTCACACATTTACTTCTTATTTTAATTACTTTGTTCTTTACTTAGTCACCCAAATACTCATTTATCATTTACTTCATTTGCCTTTACACTTATCTACCTGCCTCTTTACTGTCGTAGTTACGTCCTGGCTTATTTATTTACTTTTTCTTACGTACCGTATCTACATGCTTCAACTTTTACTTGTTATTTACTTCATTATGTAGTGGTGCCTACTCACTTGATTATCCATTCAGTTGTTTAGTAAATTACTTCTTGTCTTATTAACACATTTACTTAGTTACCAGCTTGCTGCTTACTTACTTGTCACTTACTACTCGGTGCTTATTTAAATCCTAACTTTCCATAAGTGTTCAAGACGTTTACTTGTGATAAACCACTACTCTTAGAGTTGAACATAACTGACATTCGGTCGTTCGAGGTACTGTCATTTTATTGTTATCGAGAATATCGAGAACTGGCATGCATACTTCCAACTTATCTTCAGGGCAGAGACCTCAGAATTCTCGAACATGTATACTTGCGTATGTTAAATTTCTTTATTTGTTTTATATGCATTAATTTTGTCTTAATCTTTGGCCGTTTTGCCAAAGGAAGGCTGCTTTGAGATTCTTTACTACCGATCATCTCCTTACTTTGGTCATTTGCTCACCCACTGCTGCTCTTTTACCTGCCCATTTGATCATAGGAATATTTCGGTCCATGGAGAGGTATTCTTTTATCAGTAGGGTGATACTGTTATCCATATTGTCGTACTCATAAAGTATCACCTTTACAGGTTTCCGAAGGATAATTGTTTAACAATATTTTATTTTTTGGCACTTCTCGTTTTATCTTCTTCTTTGTTTAGTTACTTTTCCTACTCAGATGATTACTTAATTACTTATTCGTTTGCTTGCTAATTTGCCTTCTTATTTACTTAGCTTCCTGTTTATTTTATTATGTGCTTTCTTGTGTACTTTAGTTTCTGCCGTACCGCTGCGCGTTTACTCACTGACGACTTTAGAGTTCACTTACTTCACCTCTTAGCTGACTTACTTTCATGATTCTCTATCTACTACATCATTCATTTGCCTACCATCACGTTCATTTATTTGTTGTTCACTTATCTTCTTGCGTACATGTTTATTTTTTGATTATTTATTACCATATTTCCTTAAGTGCCTGCATGATTTCTAATCGACTTTACCTACTTATTCATTATTGCTTACCC